CCGCGAGGTTAATGGTGGGCGGGGGAGTGGGCGTGGTTTTTGTGAATGGGCGTGGTCATCATGTGGAGGGGTGTGGTCATGAATGGGCGTGGCTTCGTGGTGAATGGGTGGGGTTGATGGGGGTGTGGCCAAAAATGGGCGTGGCCTCAAAGCGAAAGGCAAAATTTATGCAAAGGCATGGCCATAAAATGGGCGTGGCCTCAAGCTGAATGGAAATTATTTATGCAAGGGCGTGATCGTAAAATGGTCGTGGCATAATTGTGAATGGGTAGGGCTGATGAGGGCGTGGCCCCAAAATGGGCGTGGCCTGGAGGTGAATGGCTGGGGTTGATGTGGGGGCATGGCCAAAAAATGGGCGTGGCCACAAAGCGAAAGACAAAATTTATGCCAAGGCGTGGTTATGAAATGGGCGGAGCCTCAAGGTGACTGATTGGGGTTGGTGTGGGGGCGTGGCCATAAAATGGGCGTGGCCTCAAGCTGAATGGAAATTATTCATGCAAGGGTGTGGCCATTAAATGGGCGTGGCATCATTGTGAATGGGTGGGGCTGATGAGGGCGTGGCCACAAAATGGGTGTGGCCTCAAGGTGACTGATTGGGGTTGATGTGAGGGCGTGGTCAAAAAATGGGCGTGGCCTAGAGGTGAATAGGTGGGGTTTATGCGGGGTGTGGATGTGAAATAGGCGTGGCCTCAAAAAAGGCGAGGATTTATGCAAGGGCGTGGCCATAAAATGGGCGTGGCCTCAAGCAGAATGGAAATTATTTATGCAAGGGCGTGGCCATAAAATGGGCGTGGCCTCAAGCTGAATTGAAATTATTTATGCAAGGGCGTGGCCATAAAATGGGCGTGGCCTCAAGCTGAGTGGAAATTATTTATGCAAGGGCGTGGCCATAAAGTGGGCGTGGCCTCAAGCTGAATTGAAATTATTTATGCAAGGGCGTGGCCATAAAATGGGCGTGGCCTCAAGCTGAATGGAAAATATTTATGCAAGGGCGTGGCCATAAAATGGGCGTGGCATCATCATGAATGGGTGGGGCTGATGAGGGTGTGGCCACGAAATGGGCGTGGCCTCACGGTGAATAAGTGGGGTTGACTTGCGGGCGTGGCTTCAGAATGGGCGTGGCCTCGAGGCGAAACGAAATCCCGCCCTGACCCTTAGATGGGCGTGGCCAGGGCGCGCGTGGGCGTGGCCAGGGCGCGCGCGGGCGTGGCCAGGGCGCGCGGGAAATCCGCAGTGCGGCGTTAATGGGGAGGGGGCGTGGCCAGGGCGCCGACCCCGCGGGGGGCGTGGCCGCGGAATGGGCGTGGCCGCGGAATGGGCGTGGCCGCGGCGCGCGGGTTTGATGAATGAGCGGGGTCGGGGCGGGGGGGGCGCGGCCGCAGCCCCGCGGTGATGTCGCGGTGATGTCGCGGTGATGTCGCGGCGATGTCGCGGCGATGTCGCGGCGGTGTCGCGGTGATGTCGCGGTGATGTCGCGACACGCCGCCTCCCACCTGAGGTCCCGCTGCAGGACGTCGCTGACGAACGCCTCGTAGCGCTGCGCCTTCCCCGCCGCCGCCGCCATGCCGCCTCTGACGGCGGCGCCGGAACTGCGTCACCGCCGCGCGCCGCCGGGCGCCCCCTGGCGGCCGGGAGGACCCGGGCTCCCCCCCGCCACCTACCCCAACCCCGCCCCTATGTCGCGACATGGCCGCCGCGCAATCGGCGGGAGAGCAGCCGGAGCGCCGCGACCTGTGCCCCCCACCCCAGCCCGAGCCTGCCCCGGGTGTGCCCCAGGTGTGCCCCGAGCCTGCCCCAGGTGTGCCCAGGTGTCCCCAGGTGTGCCCCAGGTGTGGCCCAGGTGTGCCCAAGTGTGGCCCAGGTGTGCCCCATGTGTGCTCAAGTGTGGCCCAGGTGTGCCCCAGGTGTGCCCAGCTGTCCTCAAGGGCACCCAGGTGAGCCCGGGTACCCCCAGGTGTGTCCAGGTGTGCCCCAGCTGTGCCCAGGTGTCCCAAAGTGTGCCCAGCTGTGTCCTCAGGCACCCACAGCTATGCCCCAGGTGTG